TGACTACCAAACATAATGTCTGTCTCTGGCAGCCTCATACAGTATGTTTTTTTCTCCCCACCCAATTCACAGAATCCAGAAAGCTCTGATCTCTCAGTGTGAAAGCTCTCTATAATGTAGGACAGCTTGCTATTTCTTTCTGTAAATATTTTTCACATTCATATTTGAATATGAAAACTACATTCAAAACCCACATTGCAGTTTGACTCACAGTTTGATAAATAATTTCTTAATCTCAATTAAGAAGAAAATGCTCTGTTCATTGCCCTATTTCTATTAACCACAGCACTTTATAGATCTTTATAAAGTCTCTACAAAAATTATGTTTAGCTTGGTCTGTCTGCATTATGAATGTAGTGAAAGACTTTGTGTCCAAAAGCTTTCTGAATCATCTATCAGTATTTAACACTGTGTGTGGACATGCCATATCCCGTCTAGGCTTGTCTGATATTGACTTTTAAAACCCTTGTAAAAAAAATCTCAATGAACAATCTAGAACAGATACGTTGAACCTCTCAATGAACAATCTAGAACAGATACGTTGAACGTCTCAATGAACGATCTAGAACAGATACATTGAACGTCTCAATGAACAATCTAGAACAGAACGTCATCTACAACAGATAAAAAAAAAAAACTGACACGTAAAAAATAAAACCCAAAACCATGAGGTGGCGCTATTGAGTGTCAGCAGGTTTAAACAACATGGGCATCACGTTAGCAAAACATACGTGGTAATACGACATAACTACCCATGCAATAAGAAGACGCTAGACAAATACATCTCTAAAGCTAATGTGTGTCTATGTGTGTGTTGCAGTGCCAGTGAAGATGGAGAGAAGTATCCACAAAAATCAGTTTTTTGATAGTTAGCTAGTTAGTCAGATAGTTAGTTAGTTAGCTAGCAAACTACCATAAGGATGGGGTAAAACCTGCAGCTTGTCTATGAAAGGCTGCTTTGTATTAACTTTTTAAAGCCAGTTTTAGCCAATTTAGCTTGTTCTAGTTCAGTGAGTTCCAACTCTGATTCTGTACAGTAGTTTACCTGCTTCGAACACATCTTGTTCCAGCTAATAAGCTACTTATTCTTCCTAAATTTAAGTGTTTGTTAGAGTACATACAAAATTAAAGTGTGTAGGACTTAAGAACCAGGGTTGGTAATGTGTTCTAATTAAACATCTAAATACTTAAATGTGTCAGTTAATTTGTTCAGATTTAATAAACCTGCACAATCCATCTACATTGCAGCCTTATTGTGTTATAGATGAACTTATTTCTTTGCTTTTTGCCCGTGGTTTTAAACAACCTGAAATATGTTCTCTTCTTGGTGTGTGTGTGGATACAGCGTCAGGTAATTATGTTACATTTTTGTTGTCATATGTTGGTCTAAACAGGAGATACCTCATAAATAGATTCAAAGGAACGACTTCAGTCATGGACCAAATGACACTTGCCAAAATATATATATATACTTTAACCTCTTGTTTTTATTTAAAAAATAGAGCACGATCATGTTAGCATTTACAGTAAACACTACACTTATTATTACTACTACTATTATTATTTGATTCAGGGAATACACAGTTCCCACCCTCATCAAAAGAGTCTCTGGCTGCTTACCTCATGTTACATGTAGCCTCATGTCTGAGGAGATATGGAACTAGTATGTGTATGAAATTTTAAAGGTTTTAAGGTTTAGTGTGTTTTATTGTTGAGGAGACACCCTTATGATTTAGATTCCTCAAATGCCGCATGGCACATTTTGCTATACTACAGATCTATGCAGTTTTAAGCATCATAACGATTTATTATTTTATAACATGCTAAAACAAAGTCAATTGTTGGACAGTTTTATTTGCACAAACAAATTCATTTCAAATTCCTTTGATGTAGCTGCAGCATACAATGAGGTTTGAAATGGTTGCTACCTAGTCTGGTTCTAAGGAGTTCTGTGCTCATTTAACAAAGGATTTATGTAGCAGTTGCAAGTTTTATTCATTTTGCACTGTTCATATTTTGTACTGAAACTACTGTACTTTATTTTTGTACTGACAACTTATGGAGTGAGTAACGTTAAAAGGCAAAGTAGCCCAGCTCAAACAACGGTGCCTGTTGTTTATTGTTAAGTTGTGATGTATAGGTTTGCTGCTTTAGGTTATGTATTCAAAATGTGACTGATATAGAGTTAATATGAGGTATAAGGAGTATAAGGATGTTGGGGTGAGCAGTTGGACAGTTGCATCACTCAAGATCAAGATATTGTGAGTTTGAACACCAGCGATGTCACAGCCATCCATAGCTGGGAGCCAAAAAGCAGAAAATGCCTTGTGGGACTCCGTGCGATGCAGAACTAAAAAATGTGAGTTAGGAGAACCTTTGACCAAACTAAGAAGTTGGAGTTTGATGAACCCCTTAACTTCTTATCTCGTTATATTTTACAAAAAGTTTTCAAACAGCAGTACAGGAGTTGTGTACATTGTCCACAACTGGCATGTTATGTGAAACAGGTGAAGCTTTACTCCCTAGCTTTATTACTTGCGTACTTAACAATACTACATATCAAGCAGTTTTCTTTCTGTAACATGAAAAACATGGAGAATAACGAGAATATGTTTCTGCAAGAAATGAGACAAGACAAAGCAAGTCAAAAGTCAAAGAGTTTTGACCATGTATATACTTAGACAAAGATTTCTGAGTGAGATGAGTGAGAAAAGCCCCTAAATCTCAAAATTACAATTGAAGCTTGCAAAACACTTAGAAGACCTTCAAAAGTACTGCAGAGTAAAGAATACAGAATATTACTTACAGAAATGCTAACTCACATATGAAAAAAATAAGGCAAAAACATAAGGGTATGAAAACAAAATATATTCTGAACTACATTAATAAATATTACAAACTAGAGGGTCAGTAACAAGGTTGCACAATTAAGCAGGTTATATAAAATCATATATTAATCAAGGATTTGATTTAAGAAGCTTTGGTTGTATTGTCATGATGAACATCAAACTGCAGACAATTCACATGACACAACAGCTGAATATTTCCATACATTATATATTCATATTATATTCCATACAAAATTGACATCACTAGACAACCATGTTGCCTCATCAGTGAGACATCAGTCACCATCTGGACGTAAGGACAATTTCATATTCATAATAGGCACAGTTTACAACTATAACTTTCAACGTATCCACTCTCACATTTTTCAGCATTTATAGGGCTATTAATCTGTCAATAAGGGCATGAAAACGTCCAGCAGATTGACAGCTACACTAACAAAAATAATAATGTACATGGAGAGAGAAAGCTTTCCCTAACCTCAAGTATGCTGTGAATATACTTAATGAACAGAACCAGTGTAACACAACTTTGACTATAAATCAAGAAATTTGTTAGAAACCATGTTTTTTCCTATGCCTACTGTGCTTTGTCAGTGTGTGTGTGCATTATGTTAAGTGTGTATTATGTTAAGAACAATTTTACACTCAGTAATATACATATAAACGTGTACATACAGTGGATATAAAAATTATACTCTTATTGAAATTGCAGGTTTTTTTCAACTCAAGATAAATGTCTGATCATTTTCCATCTTTCATGCAACCTAGCAGCCAACAACATTCAAAAGAAAAACAAATAGATTCTTTTTAGAAAAAGTAATTGAAATGAGAAAACAGATAATAACCTGGTTGCATAAATGTGCACACTGCCACAACTAATACTTTGTTGGAGGGCTTTTTGCAGTTATTACAGCAGTAAGTCTTTCTGTAAAGAAGTCTTTAAATCTGGACATAGCAAGTCTGTGACAGGGTCATTCTAAGACACTGGTCCTTCTCTTTGAAACTATTCTTTTGTTGAGTGGATGTGAAATGTGGATCATTGCCATGTTAGAAGGGGAAATTCCTCTTCATCTTCAGTTTTCTGACCAGCACATTCTGTACCAAAATAATTAGATACCTGGAGCTAGTCATTACCCCATGTATCTTGACTAAAGCTCCTGTCCCAACTGAGGAAAAGCAGTGCTCCCACCACCATGCTTTACAGTCATTATGGTTTCTTTAAGCTAATGAGCTGTTATTGTTGTGCCAAACATATCTTTTAGAACTCAGGCCAGTAACCTATGTCTCATGCGATGGGTTTGAGTAATTTAATGTATTTTTTGCAAAATTACAACAAACTTGGATCTTTTTTCTTAAAAATAGCTTTCATTTTTCTCCCTGACCACATAGCTCTGACATCAACGGGGGGTATATTTCATTTACTTTGAAAATGGTTCTGTATAGCACCAAAAAGGGTTTCACTATTGTTTCATATCAAAGAACCCTTTTTCAGTACTATGCAGAAACATTTCTGCTAAGAGTGTAAAGTAAAGCCAATGCTCTTAATATTCTTTTACACCATTCTCCTCATCTCTAGCTTTTAACAGACTAATCTGTAGATGTTTTGTCAGCTCCTCACAGACCACAGCTACCCTGGAAGGATGCAAACATGAAAACATCAGGAATAGCTACAGGAACAGTTGTTTTAATTTGGGTTTACAAAGAATTACTATTGTAGATTTTCAATTATTTTTCTTTTTATTGTTTTTCTTGAAATAATCAGGATTGGGATGAAATGGTATAATGTTTAGGAATACATATTAAGAATGCAGAAATTAAGTATCTGTATTTAGTCTGAGTTACATTTTGTAAACGTAGTATGCAGAATATAGTTACTTTATACATTTTAGGAGAATACTTTTAGAATACTTACCCACTGAATTAAAAATATATACTATCTTCGCAAGAAACATCAATGCTGGTTTACAAACTATATTAAAATCCCTAAAATTAATTATTTGAAGAGGTCAGAAAAAAAAACACTTAAGTTCCTGCTACAGCTTGAGTAGACTGATAAATCAATGTGATGATCAGTTATTAATCTCAGTCTTACTGAGCTCTGCTAAAGCCTGAGTAGACGGATAAATCAATGTGATGGTCAGTTATTAATCTCAGTCTTACTGAGCTCTGCTAAAGCCTGGGTAGATGGATAAATCAATGTGATGGTCAGTTAGTAATCTCAGTGTTATGGATTGTGTTAGTGTTAAGAATGATTGATTGTCTTCTTAGTAGTGAACATGTTCACGAGTGATAAGTTTAATGTCGATGTTGTACTGGACTCATGCAGGCGTTTAGTGGCAAGTTACATACATGTCATTAATGGAAAATCACATAGCAACCTATTTTATACGCACTAAATTTATAAGCCTTTGTTATTAGGATATGGAGAACTGTTTGCTTAGTTAATAAGATAGCAGTGGGATTATAGGAGCAGCAGAGGATTGAAGCAGGTGATAAAAGCAATATCAGCATGCATTCTAAATGTATTCTAAATATGTTTCTTTTTTATACATTGTAATGAAATTACACTACTGAATACATTTAGAATAATGTTTACAGTATTCAGATATCAAAGTATTTTGCCCAACTCTGGACATAATGTTTTAGAATTTCTGGCTTTACATCACAGAAACCCTAAAATTTCAGTAAGGGTGTAGACTTTTTAGATCCACTGTACACTCAAATGCCTTTTCCTGGATTTTAAATAAAGAAACATTTCAGAACAACCTACAGTTTTGGACAAAAAGTACCTCCGCAATCATGTCTGAGCTGAAGAACACGCACATACATCTGAAATAACATCTCTGTCAGAGCACAGTAGTTTCTGTCTGCAAAGCTGATGCAGTCCTGGACGTTCCCTCGGACACCACTGTCTCTGAGCCATTCCGGAGCACACAGGAATTCTGGGAAGTGTAGTTCCACATTTGGCAGTTTAGACATACACTCTGCCATTTCCGCCTCAGCTCACACTGCACCTGACACATGAAACAGGAAACACACACCAATCCAACCTAAAGTGCGGGTCTGACATAATGCATTCTATTTATGGAATGCTTGTTTATTGTAAAAGGACTGTTATAAACAGAGACACACACATGCTCTGAGATTCTGGTTTTAATAAGAAATGCCTACCTCACTGTTCAGAAAGCAATACAAGATGGCCACTACCAAACCCTGCAAGTGGACACACACAAAAAAGATCTAACATCTTCATGTTTGCATGAGATAAATCAAGCCTGAGAAAACATATTAAATATTAAATTAAAACATACATTCAAAAAAAAATATATATATATAAAATTATAGACTATTAACAATATGTAATTAATATATTAACCTAGGGTATAATTTATATTAAACTATATTATTAACTATGATTGTACTACAATAAAATGAATATATTATAATTACAGGGCAAAAGTCAGACACCACTCCATTTGTTTAATTTCCAGTCAAAACAGACATTAAATACAAATTATTCATTTTTTTAGGAGATATTTCTGAGGAGATGAGATATAGGATAATCCACTTGCATAATATAGAAGTCAAAGGAAAGTATGTGAAAAACAAGAGTTTCCAAATCTAAATTTAATACATAGACAAAATGGAACTTCTAACAACAATGAAAAACCTGACAGACCAACAAAACTGTCACCATCAGGTAAACATTACTTAAACCCTTCATCTTTGAGATAGAGGAGAAAATCAAGCTCCACTCTTGTATCAGATCTGAAAAAATCCACAGTTGTTTCTGTTCATCTTTCCGCTGTGAGGAGACAACTGAACACTATGAGTTTGTGTATGAAGATGTGTATCTGTCAAGAAGCCATTACTGAGCAAAGGAATTAGAACCAAAAAATGAAAACGAAAACGACCAAAAAATTCTAGAATTCTATAGTCTAGACCTCAATATTACTGAATTTTTGGGATTACTTGGAAGACTGAACTTTGCAGGTATGAAAAAAAATATCCCTATAGAAAGCAAGTCTCTTAGAAAGTCATAATAAAGGACAGGGTGGACACACTAAATACTGAAAAAAATACATTTACTTGTTGGGGCTTCTGTTATTACTGTGCAATTTTTTTCTGACACTAAAAAAAAAGAATAACTTGCACTTAATGGCCATTTTGACTGGAAATTAAATGACAGAAGCATGGTTTATGACCTTATGTATATGTAATGTATAATTATATACAGTGCTGCTTGCAAGTTTGTGAACCGTTCAGCTGTTAAACGTGACATGATCTTATTTTCATTTCTCTATTCATAACAATAGAGAAAGAGAACCCAGAGAAACAAATAATACAAACAATTGTACAATTTTTCATTCATTTACTAAACAAAATGATCTAACATTAAATGTCTTTGTTCACAAAAGTATGTGAACCTCTGCTTTCAGTAACTGGTGTGACCTCCTTGACCAGCAATGACTTTAACCAAAGTTTCTGTAACTGTTGATCTGCTTTGCACATGGTCTTGGAATCTTGACCCATTCCTCCTCACGAAACTGCTTCAACTCTTTTATGTTGATGGGCTTTCTCATATAAACACCACTTCTCAGGACCCGCCACAACATTTCTTTTGGGTTAAGGTTTGGACTGTGACTCATTTCAAAATGCAGCATTTCTTTGGCTTCAACTATTCTTTGTAGTCTAACTGGTGTTTTTATGGCCACTGTCTTTTTGCAGGATCTATTATCTGTTGAGCTCCTGCAGAAAGACAGTAGATGCCCTAACATTCTCATGTAGAATTTCTTGATATAATCTAGAATTTTTAGCATAATTAAATAATGACAAGCTGTCCTGGTCTAATAGCAGCAAAACAGCCCCAAACCATGATACTGCCACCACTGCGTTTCACAGTTGGGATGAGGTTCTTATACTGGTATGCAGTATTTGGTTTTTGCCAAAAATAACATTTCAGCTGTAAAGATCTATTTTTGCCTCATCTGTCATCATAACATTATTTCAGTATTCCTGTGGCTCATCCAGGTGGTCTTTAGGAAACTTTAAACATGCAGCGATGTTCTTCCTGGAGATTAGTGGCTTTTACCATGCTATCATTCTATACATACTATTCTTGTTTAGTGTTTGCCTCGTGGTGAACTTATGAGCATTGGCATCAGCAAATGTAAGAGAGGCCTGCAGATCCTTAGATGTTACCCTGGGGTTCTTTGTGATATCCCAGAATATTCTACAGCTTACTTTTGGAGTCATTTTTTTGGTGAATGGCCACCCCTGGGAAGGTCAATAATGGTACTGAATTTCCTCCATTTGTTCACTGTCTGCCTGCCAGTGGAAATCGGTGAAATACACACTCTTCACAAATAGTTTTGGAACCACTTTTAGCTTAATGAGCATTGACGATTTTTTTTCTGAGGTCATGAAGACTCAGATTGATGTTTTTTAAATGGGTAAGGTCAGCCATACTCACACCTGATTGTCATCCAATTGATTGAACCTCCTGACTTGAATTATCCCCTATACCAAACTGATTATTCCAGAGGTTCATGTACTACTTTTGCCAACCAAAATGTTGGATAACTTTGTTCATTAAATGAATGAAAACTACCGTATGTGATTTGTTTTATCGGGTTCTCTTTATCTAATTTTATGACATAAATGAATATCTGATCATATTTCAGGCCAAACCCATGTAGAAATTCATTAAATGCAAACTTTCAAGCAGCACTTTATAACAATGTATAGTATTATGCACACTAATAAATCAGCACTGTAGGGACAAAACTTCATATCTCCAAAAACAGAAACTTCATTGGTTCATTTTCAATATTGGAAGACATGTCTATGCCCAGCTGAGGTATATCTGTAGCTCTATGATGTTGTATTCAGACACACATGAATAGCATCCTATACCTGAAAGGAGCCTAGTGCCAGATCAAAGAAGATCTTGTAGTCTGCCAGAGACTCATTTAAAGAAACAAAGATGACATAATGGATTCCAAACAGAGGAATCAGCAGCAGAGTGGACTTAGCCAGCCTCCTACAAAACACAACACACTTATCAAACAAAAGGAACACAATACACTCATCAAGCACAAGAACCTCCTACAAATACACTATGTGCTTATCGAGCACAAGAACCTCCTACAGAAAGATAACATACATTTTAGTCACAATGGCATCCAACAGAAACACAACATCCATCACAACAGCCTCCTACTGCAGTGAAGGGTTTCATAATTAGCCGATGAGCAGAATCATGTGTGTCAGATTAAAGAAACACAAAAATGTCCAGAGCTTGGGATGTTAGACTGGAGGGCTGAGACTGGAAAACCACTTTCGTTTCCTACCGAAAACGGCTGAGTGGATGAATGTAGAAGACAATGGGCTGCACTTTATAAGCCTTGGTTGCTTTCAGCATGTCATCCTCACACTCTTAGGGGGTTTTCTGTCACTGTCAAATTCAGTTTACTCATTAGGGTCTGGACCTGAATTTCAATTAAGCGGTTTTGTGACAATGTCTGTTGTAAACAGCGCATAAATAAATTGAATTTATGTGTTTTGACATGGATTGGTTGTGGTTGCTGACCAGCATGAGCCTATGACCTTTATTACCAGCTGCTCCTTATAGTACCAAAACAGCTTTTGCACATCTGACATTAAAACTCCAACACTCATTCCACACTGACATTAAAAAATATTGATTTGGTTAAATTTAGGAGGACAGTGGAATTTGTTCATGGGTCAGTGATGTGACACTCGATTTTTGTTTCTGCACTCATTAACTTCTTATGAAAAGCGTTAATACAATATATTTGATATAAGAAATAACTTATATACATCTCGTGTGAAGGGCTTCTAAATTGCCAAACATATGTTTTTTTTTTTGTTTTTGTTTTTGTTTTGTTTTTTTCTAGGTGATGTAACCATGCTTAAAGGGGAATTCCACCTATTTTAAAAGTTCATCCAGTGTGGCAAAACAGTACCCAAAGAAAACGTTTTTTTCTTAATATACCAGTATTTTACCATGATTAATATTATGTATAAAAATATATAAAACTTCAGAGAACATGTATTTTTACTGGTTGTTTTACCTCTTGTTCATAATAAAGAAAACGATAGTTTGTAAGTGTCTCTACAATGCACTATTTCACATCAACCCACTCTAAATGTCTTTGTTTACATCTCAACAATTCATTAATGCAGTAATTTTGCAAAATCGATGAAATTCCTCTTTAACAGCAATGTCAACAGTTGGGTAACTGGGTTTAGTCAGTGAGAAAACCACATTTTTTGCATCTAAATGCATAATTTCTCAAAACATGAACAAAGAACATGAATTCCATCCTCTTTCATCTTTTCGTATATAAATTTGTACATTTTCCAATATTACTCTTTCTATGAATTATTCTCTTTTTTAAAAAATATTCTCTCTTTTTGTTCAGCAAAAATTCATCGTTCAGCTAAAGAAAAAGAGCCACATTTTCTAGATAAACTAATGATTAATACATGTTCTTTTACACACATTTTGACAATTTTAAGCTAATTAAATCAAAGATTTTGTTTTGTTTTTATATTATTATTATTATTTTTTATTTATGATATATTCAAAACAAAAAACAACGATTACATTAATACACATTTGAAATCCTTATTTGTCACTGACCCATATAGAAATAATTTCAGTTTTTCTGTTGACTGATAAGAACTGCTCAGGTAATCACCCTTATCAGCCCTGGATTGCTGCAACAAGACCAGCTCTGAAATTACATGATATATATCTTACCTCACTGCACTCTATGACAGGTGACGAGCTCCTGTTCAGTGCTCATGGAATCAGTCTTCTTTTCTTTTTTTTGGCAGAATCAGGTGGAGCAGTGTATATGAACGTGTTTGCATTTTCTTTTACTGACAGTGACCTGTTGAAAATGAGACTGGATTTTGTGGGTTTTTTGTGCAAATAAATGTTCAGAACACTAGAAAAATCATCCACACCTATTAGTGTTTTTGTGTTTTAATAACATGTAGTGGGGGTCATGTTGCATAGAAAAGTATAACTCCACTTAACATCTCCCATCAGACACACCAGAAATAGATTACTAAAAATACATAGAACCTCTTAATATGTATGAGCGTATTTCTTATTTGCCCTGGAGCTCAGTCTGTAGCTGATTTTCTTGGCATCTGAATGTGAGAGCACACTACATGCGCATACACAACTACTAGATTACTAAAACACAAGGCTTACAGTTTCTTTTTCACCACAGGGAGAAATTCTGTCTCTCTTTTTTTCTTTCTCTATCTTTCTGCCTAAGGACAAATTAAAGTGTGCAAACAGAATACGACAGGATAAAACTGTCAGAAACAAGAAGCTTAAAATTCCAGGCTTGATATGCCCAAAGGTGTATTATTCCGTAACTACGTGGAGAACAATGCAAACTTTGAGTTAGTCTTAAAGAGGATTTCCACCAATCTTAAAATATGTTTGCATAATCCATTTGCTAAGATGTAAATTAAGTCATTCTGAGTGGTTTAATGTGAAATGCTTCATTCTAGAAAACTTACTCACAGTAAAAGTGATATGAAACAGACATCTGTTTGGTGTTGTCTACACTGTCAAAAAAAAATGTACAGATATGCAGATACATATTTTGTTCATCAGGATACAAACAACATTAAAGTACCCTCAAAGGTGCAACAATGGTTTTGAGGTCCTTAAATAAGTGCATATTTGTACCTTTCCATAACGAAATGTTTTAAAACCGACCAATAAAATTAAAAGGCTGGAGAGAAGACAGGGTCTACAGAGCCAGTACAACTTAAAAATATATAATTGCAATGGATTATGGTACAATTATGCTCCCTGACTAAAGGTACCTCCCTTAAAGAAAGTTATCACATGAAATTAAATATACTACTTGATGCCTGAGACATTGTTTTATCATAGTTCTGAAATGAGGTTTTGGCCTAAAATGTGTTTTTTAAAATGCATTCATGGTTATAACTGGTCATTCACCCTGCAAGCAATTAAACATTGGTTTGACCCAAACTCTAATTTACCTTAGTGGATAATTAAACAAGACATGGTATCTCCAATTAGATTTGAGGATTTGTTCATTGTCTAGGAATTCTACTAAAAAAAATGTGCAAAAAGGTTTGGGCCAATAATATGCTTCAAACCTTTAAAACAATGAAGAGTATGGGGATAAACATGAAATGGCTTAAAGCCTCTACAGTCTGGCTTAATAGCAATCTTTTAACAGGTAGCAAATCTTTTATCCAAAACTCATGGGCAGAAAAAGGTATACAGGTTCTTGAAGTTATCAATGGCAGCAAATATTTCCTCTCTATCTTATGAAGATAGCACATTATGGTATATATAAGCAATCATTATTCTTTTATTTTAGATTTAGAACCACACTGAAATCTTGTCGCATGGGGTCCAGAGAGATCTGATAGGTCACCAAATGATGAGCTGGATCACATAAGCTCCCAAAAGAATAGTGTCCTATCTATACCAAGTTTCTGTCACATGTATCTAAACACTGGCCAAAAGGAATGGGATAGGGTGATGGAACAGAGGGGAACGCAGGTAAACTGGGAAGCATCATGGGGTAATGTTTAATAATAATGGCTTATCATTACCCTAATCATCAATTCATTCACATGAAAATCTGCGACCCATGGTAAGACATTTAATGGGTTTAAGTCCTCACCCCTACTGTACTACCTGTCCATATGGGACAATGGGGACCTTTATGCATATTATGTGGGACTGCTCAAAAGTATTTGCCCTTTGGGAGGAGGTAGTAGATCTCTTCATTAACTAATGCGCATGGACCCTCACCTAACCCTAAAGGAAACCCCATAACAGCCCCCTCATGATCTGTCCATACATCACTGGCTTCATACACTACTAAACATTCTCTATCTGCACCTATCATCTGCAAGAATCAACAATGCAGTCACTAAAACTCTTCCTTCATGGAATGATGGAACTAGCAAAGTGAAATACCTTTTAGTTGCTTAATGCATTCATGTTGGCTATAATGTGTATAACGTTGTTACTGGCGTAACACATATTTCAAGTGTCCTGTGCTATATTTTGATTAGTTTCTGTTGTAATGCCCCATGTTGGTGTGGGTGGGGGATGTGAAAGGTGGATTGTTAGGCATTTCTTTGAAATAAATAAGTAAAAAAAAGAAAAATGCTTTCATGGTGGAGAGGTGGAAATGTAGGCTGTTGTGAGGCAAAATAAAGAAAACTTGTTTTTTTTTACAGACTTTTAGCACTATTTGTCTGTTTTGAACATGGTTTTTGGATAGTAAGTAAAATAGCTATGTTTTTGTTGTAGACATTGTGACCCCTGGTTCCTATTAGTTGATAGGTTTCTCTACAATGCACCATTCCACATTAAAACAATCTGAATGATATTGCGTATCACCACTTTGTTATTCATAATAATTACAACAAACTATTATTTTCACAAGCAATGTTGCTGTTTGGCACAATAATACAGAATTGATACCTTTTATTAAATGAAATATATGGTGGTCTTCACTCAACATTTGTCATGACTACACACACAAACAAACTCACCTGTATTGTGATTGGTCATTACCTCCAACATCAGGGCAGCGCAGCTTCTGCAGCAGAATACGAATGATGCTGATGAACAGTATAAAGTTTACCTGAGACAAAAAGAGAGAAAAAGTTACATTCAGAAGTTTGTAGACACCTGCTCATCCAACATTTCCTCTTAAATTGAAGGTATTAAAAGAGAGTTTGTCCCCCTTTGCTGCAGTAGCAAGACTTTACATTAGATGTTTGAACACTGTTGTGAGGATTTGATTGCATTCAGCAACAAGAGCATTAGTGAGCTCAGGTACTGATGTTGGATGATTAGTTGTGGATCACAGAACCCACTCCAATTCATCCTAGAGGTATTTGACATCACGCAAGCACTCCAGAGAACGCAGTTCCACTGCTGCACAAGCCAGTGTTGGGGAGACCCCTCTAGCCATCCCATGGCATTGGAGATGATGATCTTAGGCTCATGTGCAGGCTGTCTGGATAGCTTTTGAGATATGTGTACATGTACATTAAAGAGAAGTTTGAGAACAATATTGATTAAGATGTTCACACAGTGACTTTCTGTGCCCCCACAAGAAGTGATTCTGATGGTTACATATGCCAGGTCTATTTTTGGCACATCTTATGATAATCCTCCGCCTCATGGTGTCAGAGCACTGGGTAGGCTGGCATATGCAGAAAGCAACAGGGGCCTTGATTTGTTCCAGTAATGTTTTTATGTCATAATGATTATGCTAAAACCTGAAATATGTACAGGTAGGGCTTTACTGAAGGGCTGCATTCATAAGGCTACATGACATCTACAGTGGTATGAAAAAGTTTGAGTACCCCGGTCAAATTACATGTTGTGTTGATTTTCTAAGTCTTGTTGATGTGTAAATCCCCACATTAAATATTGAAAGTAAAAACTACATTTTACAGGTTATTTAAAAAAATCTGGGGAAGGATGCCCTAAAACAATCCTACAGTAAACTAATGATATCCTCATTTGCACTGTTTAACGTAGATGTTGGTGCTGTGCAGAACCGGTAGTTTTAGCAGATTTACCATCATGGAAAACACAATTGGTCCATTGATGACCCATATGGGCACTGGGTGATCATTCCGCTCCCAGCAACTAGGGAAACCACACACACACACACACACACACACACACACACACACACACACACATAAAGAAAGACATTATCATCACCATGCTACCATCCAATAATTACTGTGACACTACACTCATTACCATGTCTGAGAGATAGCCAAACTGTCACTCAGAGATTCGCTTGTTTGTGTGTGTGTGTGTGTATTTCTTTCACTCACTCTGTGTCCTCTAGCTGATGTCTTGTCAGAATCCATGCAAACACAAAAAGCGCAGGGACTCCTGACACACAAGCAAACACACACACACAAAAACACACACACACACACACACACACACACACACACAGAAAGGACATGATAATGACATAGAGAGAGAGAGAGAGAGAGAGAGAGAGAGAGAGAGAGAGAGAGAGAGAGAGATGAGACAGATCTTTAGGAAAAAAACACAGAAAGATCACCTGGCTAGTTTCTATCTTTTAACATAGTTCTAGTTCTTTTGGTGTAATCAACATGAAATATTCACACAGTGTAGCAGGTAGCTGAAATTGTCAAGTGGTGTAATAAAATGAAAAAAAAAGGATTTACAGTTTACCAGGTTTGACAGCAATGACAGTATGACAGTGCTGTGCAAAAGTCTTAGGTAGCCATGAGAATTGTTTAAAACTTATCTTGCCAGTAAGTGTGTTTTGATAAAAAAAAATATGTGGATGGAAGAATATAGTTAGAGGAACAAAAATTTAGTTCCTGATGTCTCAGTGCATTCAATTCATTGCATGAATTTGTTAAATTCCATCGCCAGCACACCTGATTTAATTTAGATTGGAATTCTACTGATTCTTAAAAAATTCTGCATGATAAATTTATTAAGATATGAATAAAGTTATTCAGAGTGGTTTTATGTGAAATGCTCCAATCTAGAGTCACAACAGTTCAGCCTTGGTAATCGGAGCCAAGTGACTGAAGCATTTAATGCCTCTAAAAGCTACCGTATGATGTCTGAGACACTGTTTTATTATAGTGTTAAAATGAGATTTTGGCCTAATATATGTTTTTAAACAAATTCAGGATGTTCTAAAGAAAACATGCTCCCAAAGAAAATGTGTTCTTTCAGATTTACCATTATTTTACCATTAACATTACACATAAAACAATATATATAAAGATGTACACAAGTTCACTGGTCATTTTGAAAAGCAAATAAAGTGTTATCATTGCTATCACTGGTTTCTCTACAATGAATCATTTCACATCAAACAGACTCTGAATGACTTTATTTACATCTCAGTGATTGAATTATTCAAATATCAGTGGAAATCCCCTTTAATGAATCATTGATTAGCCAAACTAGGAATTGGATGGTAATTGTAAATACTGGGCTTCCTCGAGAGGCAGCATGGAAGTGGTTAAGCTAACACACAAACATAAATGAAATAATAATGTATTGTAATATTAGTATTTTTCAAACAAGTAAAATGATTACAGCCCAGATAAATGGCTCTACATATCATTCTCACAGATGGCTTAAGATCACTGGGCCCTCAATATCACCAATATCAATAAGTTTTTTCTTAAATTTGTTCTTGAGAAAGGTCCTAAGAAAAAGTATACATCAGATTGATGACGTGTTCTTAAACCACAGAATTGTTCATGCCTTTGAGTGTGCATAGATTCTGTTCTTAGCTAAGAACAAATCCCAAAAAGGAAAACATTTGTGAATATCACAATCTTCGTAAAAACTCTGTAAGTGGGTTTTAAGGAATTTCTTCTTAAGAACGGTTGGTGAATGAGGTCCATTGAGCTGAAACTGAGCTGAGATGAAATAAACTGAATTGGGACCTGGACAGAATTAGAATTGAAACTGCTCGCACCCCAGCCGATCATCAGGTAGGACAGGAAGCGTGTGCTTTCGGAGAAAGTGACAAGCAGAAGTGTGTGCAAGTAAAGCCCCTCCACCAGCAGCCAGAAGAAATTAGCCATGATGAAGTAGTGGAAGAACACCAGACTTGCTCGGCAGCCAACCTGTTATTAACATAAAACACATCAATAAGGACTTTAGGAGATATCATGTCAGATATGTGCGGTTGTGTGTGTGTGAATCTTACCAGTGAGGGCTGGTTGCTGCAGTGTGTGCTGTGTGAAAACAACACACTATCCTTCACCAGTACAGCCACAGCTCTCAGGATAAAGGAGAGAAACAGGTTCACATGGATGTAGTTGCGTGTGCAGTGCAACCTCCTACAAACACATACACAAATAAATGAATCACTGCATACACCTTTAGGAAATAACACACATGGGTTGTGTTTATGGCCAGGGGCAGAAACTAATTTTACAAGCTGAGGCTCCAGCACACTGATAGAGATGCCAGAGGCTACAATAATAATCATCATCTTGAGTGGCCAGAACAATCAGCCTCAAGGACCCTTACATACAGCACTAACCTCTTAATGACAGTTATCAACACACACAAATACTGATTGACCTATTCTGGAGATTTTACAGCACTTAAGAGAAAAGGACAAGTTTCTATATAAGGAATTTTGGCACTAGGACATCACATGCAGTACTGACCAACCTTTCATTACTTCATTCTATCAGAAAAAAAGTAGAAGTTTCAACAGTTAAATATAATTTCAGTTTTTTCACTATTTGGTGCTTCAATCCTTTGCCTTAATTATATCTTCCATTCTTTTTCAGAGACTTAGTTTCAGCTTTTCAAAGAAATCTGCAGGGACATTCTTCCACACCTCCAAAGTTCAGTCTTAGAAGTTGGGTGCATTTTCTTCTTCTAATGATTTAAGTAACCCTAAACATGTTCAGTAAGTTATGGGGTGGTCAGTCCATTGTTCTGAGAACAGCAGCTCCTTTATATGATTTGCAAATTTTCTTTCTTTCTGTCCATTTCCTTTTCTCAGTAACATCTTCTTGGCAGCTACACATCCTTTCAGACTCATAGTGTTGAGCTGTCCTCTCACAGTGGAAGGATAGACAGAAACACTTGTGGATCTTTTCAAATCTGAAGCAGGAGTGGAGTTGGATTTTCTCATCTCTCAAAGAACATTTTGGTGGTCTACCAGGTCTTGCACAGTTATTAGGAGTTCCATTCTCTCCATAACTTCCACAAATTTTTTGACCTCAAGTACTGGAAGCTTTTGTTTTTTCAACATATTTCCCTTTGACCTGACTCTTTATGCGTGTGGATTATCCAATATCCGCATTAATATCTCCTGAAACGAATATCTTATAATTAAAGGCTATTGACTGGAATGAAGGGTGGTCATACCCATACAGTTTCATAGTCAAGGGGTGTAGTGACAGTGGGAAGTGCAATTCATGTCAGTAAATGTGTATGGAAATGAGTGTATGCATTTTGTCTCATCCAGCACAACTGAATCAACTCATTAATTAATAAGCTCCTCATGGTCTGGGTCAGGGGTGTAGAGTAGGGAAAATAAAAAATGTGCAGAGCGTGGGGTCACCAGGACTGGGATCGGGAATCCAAAGTCGAGAAAACCATGTGGAGGGGAACATTCTAGCTACTTACACAGAAGTAAGCACCTTATACTACGCAGCAAGGATTACTGTAGAATCACCTTGTGGACAAAAAGCTGATGCCCCCCAATACTACTAATAACTTGCATTTTGGTGTCAACTGTTACCATAACAACAAGAAGCTTGTTTGTTGTGATGCCAATGCACACGCCTATAATGTATGCAAAGAATCTAATCACGAATGACGAATGATTCTGACCAGATTTAAATGTTTACATAATGACTATTGTTTCATTTAATGAATTATTAAAGAAGTACACCTCTTTAGATCACACCAAAATTTTACTCGGATTAAGCTCACCCCTTTTAGAGTGCTGTGGCGACGCCCCAGTACTTTTTGAGTTCAGGACGTGCAAATAAAAACCTCAGCTTTCCCAAAACTGCATGAAACGTTGATCAGCACAAACAGACAAAGTAAAACTCAGTGCAGAGCCGATCAGAATCTCCATTTCAGCTCGGTGCTGCTTTCAGACCTGCCTTGGATGGTGCTGACCTGTCAAACTTTTTCTTTAGTTTGGTTTTGACATGCGACTCCGCTCGATTTCAGATCTGCACCGAACAGATGAACCACGTTAGTTCATGAGGGAATTCCAGAACACCAGAGCACATTTTTTTCCATTGCACATTCTCTGTACTGTCTGCACAACCAGCTGCTTTAACATTTCACTCTTTACAGACACTCACACACGTGAGTGTTTTGTTTATTGATCACAGGTTTTGCAGGGATGCAAGCGCTGGTTCCTGCACTGCGAGCGAAAGACAAGCAATAAAATAATGATATGCTTTTGATTATAGATTGTGGAGGAAATTTTTGGCCGAGCATGAGCCACCTGGTCAATTAAACTTAATTTGGTATTCACAAAGATTATAATTTTCTGTTTTCACGGTGGTGAATATGAGAGTAACAGAGCACTTGCATCCCTGCAAAACTTCTGATCAATAAACAAACACCCACATGTGTAATGTCCACTTTAGCCCTTGCAGTCTACCATCCGAACCAAAAGAAAAAAAATATAATATCATAAAATTAAACTGTTGTACAGACTTTAGAGAATGAAATGAGTATGAAAACAGCCTGATGTTCCTCAGAGATGTTAGCTAACAAAGCTGAAGCAGCATCAAAACAAACACTGTTCATAATCAGGTTGAGAGGTGGGTAGAGGAGCCTAAATCAATATCCACGCAAAAGTTTTGATACTTGCATAAAGTAATTAAGTAAAAGTACTTTCCTAAAAACAACTGGAGTAGCATTTATCAGCATAGGAACTGAAGATTGTGTGGCTCTGTTCTTCTCTTTTTGGGATTTTTTTTTGGTCTAAAATAAAAAGCTCCACAGTCAGAGATGTAACCATTCTAAAGCAGTACAAATTTTGCCACCATCAAAACATTTTGAAATTAAACACAAAAAAGAAATTAGTAACTAAATATGACTGGCTAAAATGTAACAAGAGTAAAAAGACACCTTAACTCACCTTAGTAGAAGTAATATGATTTAAAAATACTCAGGAGAGTAAAATCCACTAATATTTTACTGGAGTAAATGTACTTGAGTAATTGTAACTAGTTACAACCCACCTCTGAAAAGGTTTATAAAGACATTAGCACGACATGAAAGACGATTTTAGTCAGTGGCCTAACTGCATTGCATCAGTCAGCCAGCTATGAAACAAGATGTTTTGCCCCACCACTTTTGGAGGTGTGGCACCACCCCTGGCATTACTGGTGACTAAAATGACCCGAACAACTCACCTGAACATGCAGAGGATGGCGCTGCCTGTTGTCAGCGCAATGAGAGACAAACTATGACCAAGAGTATATAAGGTCTTCACCACCGTGTAGAACACCAACTAAAAAGACATAAAAGTAGAATTATGAAGCAGAAATATTACAATGTATATGTTTTTGTACTAAAACTTGATGAGAATTAAATTACAATGCACTAAACTAGTGGAAGGAAATGGAATATATCTATATTGTTCATGTACTTAAAGAACTTTTCCATGGTTTTGTCCTTTACTGGAATAATTCTGTTCAACTACATTTTGAAGAATTTTTCACATGAACTGAATTAAAACCAACACGCTGATGTTCTGTGTGTAAACCCATCTTGGGTGGTCTTAGAAATGTTATTTATATACAACTGAATCATTGAAAAAAGTAGTTTTATAGAGTTTTCCATTTGGTCTACCCAAAATATGTTTACTTTTAGTTCTAACACATTCATTTAATATTAATTACTTTAACTTTACTCAACTAATAATTTCCCTTAAGAGGATTTAACCACATCTTGAGCTTTAACTCCACCGTACACACTCCTATAATAAGAACAGTTTTTGTTCCATGTAAAGAAGTGTTTATGCTTCATACGTCTTTGTGAGCACCATGTTTAGATGAGAACGTTTGGCTGAAGAGCTCGTCTGGACGATTGAACATTCCTGATACCTAAATATTTACCTCAGGCTACAGACAGGATCACTCAGCTAATAGGTCAACCCCACCACACACGTTCAGTCACTGACACACACACTCAGACACTCACTCGTGTTAAAAGTTATTGCTGCCCTTTTAGCTGTAGCCAACTTTAACTGCATAGAAATGGACAGTTGCTCAGGGTGAATAAATTTCATAAATTATAATTGTTTTGTTGGTTACTGTCACTGTTAGAGTCACATTGGTTACTGTTACTGTTTAGAGTCACATTGGTTACTGTTACTGTTTAGAGTCACGTTTTATCCAATTAACATACAGGGCCCTATTTTTGCTACAACATATTAGCAGCAATCAATCTGATAAATACATTAAGATTAGGTGCAACAACATGCACGCTGGAAATCATGGAATAATAGCCCTCACAATCATTGTTATGATACTTTATGCCAGTAGATTGATATGGTTACTTATTAGAGGTCTAGAGTTATTACTATCATTTTGCTATACTATTTCAGTGTAATTACATAAATATGTAATTCACTGCATAGCTAGTTGTGTAATAAATAACACACAGTACTGGCCAAAAGTCAGACCAACCTTTTATTCATTTAATTTCCAGTCAAAATGGCCATTAAATACAAGTTGTGAATGTTTTAGCATGAACATATCTATTTGAAAATTACACAGAAGTCTCAGCACCTAAATATAATATCAAATTATTCAGTATATAGCTTGTCCACAATTTGCCTTATTTATAGCTTCCATTCTTTTTAGAACTGCTTTCAGTACTTCAAAGAACACTGCAGGAATATTTATCCATGCTTCTTGTAAACACCTCCAAATTCAGTCTTTGGAGTTGGTTGCATTTAGACTCATCAGTCCATGAAACCTTAGTCCACATCGCAGATATCCAGTTTCAGTGTTGCTGGTGTGAAAGTTTGTGTCTCTTTCACTGGTAACATAATGTCAGGGGGAACATCTTCTGTTCGGAGGACACAAGTGTAACTGGCAGAGGGGAACCCTCAGGGCCTTCTAGGCCTAATTATTTCTGGAAATTACAACCTCATTTCCAAAAAATTGGGAGGCTGTGAAAAATGCAAATAAAAACAAAATGCAATGATTCGCAAATCATTTAAACCCTATATTTAATTGAAAATGTTTCAAAGACAACATATCAAATGTTGAAACTGAGAAAAATATAAAGTTTTTTGAAAAATATATGCCCATTTTTAATTTAATGCCAGTAACACTTTCCAAAAAGTTGGGATGGGGGCAACAAAAGGCTGGTAAAGTTGTGTAATGCTTAAAAAAATACCTGGTGGTTAAATGGCAACAGGTCAGTAAGAGGGCACTGCATTAAAAACGGACATGATTCTGTAGTGGAAATCACTTCATGGGCTCAGGAACACTCCTGAAAAACACTGTCTATGAAAACAGTTCAGCGCTGCATCCACAAATGCTAATTAAAACTCAAACACAAAGAAGAATATATAAACAGCATCCAGAAATGCTGCCAAAAAAGTTGGGATACTGTGCAAAATGTAAATAAAAATAAAATTCAATGATGTGCAAATCATTTAAACCCTATATTTAATTGAAAATATTACAAAAACAACACATCAAATGTTGAAACTGAGAAATTGTATTGTTTTTTGAAAAATATATGCCTATTTTGAAGCCAACAACACTTTCCAAAGTTGGGATGGGGGCATGTTTATTACTGTGTTTCATCACCTCTTCTTTTAACAAAATTCTAAGCATTTGGGAACTGAGGAGACCAACTGCTGTAGTCTTGAAAGTGAAATGTTTTCCCATTTTTGCTTAACATAGGATTTCAGCTGCTCAACAGTTTGGGGTCTCCTTTGTCGTATTTTTAATTTTATAAGGTACCAAACGTTTCCAGTGGGTGACAGATCTGGACTGCAGACAGGTCAGTTTAGCACCCATACTCTTTTAATACGGAGCCATACTTTTGTAATACGTGCAGAATGTGGTTTTACATTGTCTTGCTGAAATAATCAAGGCCTTCCCTAAAAAGATGTCATCTGGATGGCAGCATTAGTTGCGAAAACATGTATATATCGTTCAGCATTAATAGTGCCTTCGCAGATGTGCCAGTCACCCATGCCATGCGCACTAATGCCCCCCCTATACCATCATGTATACTGGCTTTTGAACTGTGCACTGAGGACAGTGTCCATGATTTTCAAAAAGAAATTCAAATTTTGATTCGTCAGACCACAGGACACTTTTCTACTTCCCCTCAGTCCATTTTAAATGTGCTTGGGCCCAGAGAATGTGGCAGCATTCCTGGATCCTGTTTATATATGGTTTCTTCTTTGCATTTTAGAGTTTTAATTAGCATTTGTGGATGCAGCACCGAGCTGTTTTCATAGACAGTGGTTTTCAGAAGTGTTCGTGAGCCCATGCAGTGATTTTCGCTACAGAATCACGTCTGTTTTTAATGTAGTGCCATCTGAAGGCCCAAAGATCATGGCCAGCAGATACTGGTTTTTGGCCTTGTCCCTTGCATACAGAGATTTCTCTAGATTCTCTGAATCTTTTAATGATATTATGTACCATAGATAAAGAAAAGCATTGTTGAATTGTTGCATTATTTGATCGTGCAGTCTTTTACAGAGTGGTGAACCCCTCCCCATCTTTACTTCTGAAAGACTCAGGCTCTCTGGGATGACCTGTTGCCAATTAACCACCAGGTGTTTTTTAAGCATTACACAACTTTATCAGCCTTTTGTTGAAATGATTTGCACATCATTGCATTTTGTTTTTATTTACATTTTTCACAGTGTCACAACTTTTTTGGAAATGGGGTTGTAGGTGACACATTATTATGTCACATTATACCTAATTTGATGAAGGAAATAAAAAACCTGAAATTAATTTGTTTTAGTAAAACAATGTTTAAAACTGATAGTTTCTATTATTTTGGGAATATTTTACACTTATCAAAGTGTCTTAAGAGAAGTTTTAGCCTAAATAATGACTGAACAGTTTTCTTTTCCAAATGATTGCTAAAAGCACATGTTGAATATATTTTGGCAGTGCAATCTCTACAAAAGCTGCATGTTGCTTTGTGTATGCTGTGGCCTCTGTTGCAGAAATGTTACAGCTTTTTATGGACTGCTTGTAGCTAAGAGGTCACATTCATTACAAGTGCAAAATCATAAAGTTCCCAAACTACCATGATGTGCTCAGTGAAAGTAAACAGGGATTTTACAGCATCACACAGTTTCCAAATGCTCTTGACACAGAGTTCAGTCATGCTCACCAACACAATGTGTCAGTAATTAATGGCTCTTTTAGTAATCTGCCCCTAATGTGGTATTTACATTTTCAGCTCTGTCCTGTCATTCTATAAGGTATTTAAAACATGCTGGGGCAAAGTTTAAACTTTTAGAACTTAAAAAATACATTGAAAATAATAATAATAATTAAAAAAAAACAGTTGTGGCACAGTTCTGCTTGACTGCATGTATTAAACTAATGTTTCTGCTTAAGTTTTTTTCATGGAATCCAGGACATGACCTGATAGGCCCTAACTGAGTTGGTGTGGAATGAGCCTTCGGTGTTTTCCTAGTGTTTTCTATCATCTAGTTCTTTGTGTTTCTGTATTTAACCTTAGCCTGCCTGCTCTCTGGTTTTGTTATGGATCGTTCTGTGATAACGACCTTGTCTGCCTGTGTTCTGCCCCCCCGCTAAGCACTATGACCGCAATGACTGAATTTGCCGTACTAAATTCAGCATGCACATGCATCTGTCTGCCTGAAGTGTCACAACATTACAATAAGCCAGCTTATAAAAATACATATGATCCCAACACACACCTCATCAAGCAGTTTTATAAGACTTATATATCAGTTTAATATCAGTCTAATATCAGACATTACAGTACAGTAACCCTGTAAACCCCAAAGACGAAATTCATTGATTGGACTGACAGATAAGAACGTATACAGTTATACTGAAGTAAACATATTGCATGTGTTCAACATTTTTTGTCTTTGAGTTCATTAAACTGACTACCTGATAAGTACAGCTGATAAGACAGCCCCATTTGCAGTTTTAAGTAAAAAGAACTGTCCATATAGAGTTACTGACACTTGAATGAGTCATGTTTGTAGATGTACAACTAGCTGAAAGGCAGAGCTTCTCAGTATTCTTAGCAGTTTGTTGGTTTCTGTTCATTTTTCTTATTATCATCAAATAAAGTCCCTTTTGAGTGACAATATGCTTCTTAACGCTAAGGGTTAAGTTTGGCTGCATTTTACTCATATTTATTGTACACTATATGGCCAAAAGCATGTGGACACCTGACTGTCACACCTCTATGAGCTTGTTGGACATCCTGTTCCAAAATCATGGACAGTAATATGGAGTTGTTCCCACTTTGTGACTATAACAGCCTACACTCATCTGAGAAGGCTTTCCACAAGAAAGTCTGTTAGAATTTGTGCCCATTCAGTCAAAGAGCATTTGTAAGGTCAGGCACTGATGTTGGATGAGAAGACCTGGCTCGCAAGCGACATTCCATTTTATCTCAAACGTGTTCATTGAAGTTAAGGTCAGGGCTCTGTGCAGGCCACTAGAGTTCCTCCACACAAAACTTAAGTCATGTCGTTAAGGACCTTACTTTAAGCACAGGGGCGCAGTCATGCTGGAACAGGTAGTGGCTTTCCCAAGCTGTTGCCACAAAGTTACAAGCCTATAAATGTCTAAAATGTATGATGCAGCATTAACACTAAGGGCCTAGCCCAAACCCTGAAAAACAGCCCCAGATCGTTATCCCCCCTCTACTGAGCTTTACTGTTGGCACTGTGCATTGTGAAGTCACTGCTCCAGAGAACACGTTTCCACTACTCCAGAGTCCAGTGGCAACGTGCTTTACACCACACCAGCCTACGCTTGGCATTGTGCATAGTGATCTTAAGCTTGTGTTTGGCACTCAGCCATGGAAATCTATTTCATGAAGCTCTGGATGTACAGTTCTTGTGCTGTTTCTGTTTCTTCCATAGGCAGGTTGAAACTCAGGTTGGAACTGTAATGAGTGATGCGCTTCTGCACTCGGCAGCTCTGCTCTGTGAGTTTGTGTGGTCTACAGTCTCATGGCTGAGCTGTCATTGCTTCTAGACACTTCCATTTCAGAATAATAGAACTTACAGTTGACCAGGGCAGATCAAGCAGAGCAGAAATTTCACTTATTTGTGGCAAAAGTGGCATATTATGACAGTTCCTCGTTTAAAGTCACCAAGCTCTTCAGTATGACCCATTCTACTGCCAGTGTTTGCCTATGGAGATTGCATGGCTATACGCTTGATTTTATACACTTGCTAGCAATAAGTGTGGCTGAAACACCTGAATTCCACAATCAGGAGGGGTGTCCAAATAGTTTTGACCATACAGTGTATATTAACAATGATGGTGTTGCAGTTTACCAGTCCGGTCTGTACTACTAACATACAAGTAACACATACAGACAGTTTTCATGTAGGTAAACTGGTTGTGGCCTCTAATCAGCTTCTGATAAAACTGGCGAAGATACATAATAAACAACAGAATCCCCTGAAATAGGTGATTCTAACCTATTTGTAATAAGTTGTTTATTACTTATGGAGCAGTCTTATAATTATTCTTAAGTGTTCTTTGAAAACAATATTTATGTAATGCTGTTGTCAGTTGAGTGTTTGCGGCAAAGCACAGAAGTTAATGTTTAAATGTTTCTAACATGCATCCTTTGAGGTTAGTGGTACTCAATTTATTTAAGGCAGTCAGTTGCCACAAATTATTTAAGTAGTCACTCTGAGTTGTAATTACTTTAAAGGTTTAATTACACTGAGCGATGTGAGTAAATATTTTGAGCTGCGTCTTGACTTGACTTGAACTGACTGCCTTAATTATTTTGAGTCCTACTTATGCAGGTTTACTGTGTAGCACACACATATACGCACCTTGTCCTGAGGTGTCTCAGAGCCACACACGCTGGTGATGTTGGGGAAAACATCAGACCAACCATCAGCCGTGCAGTTCTTACTGATATTCCCTACAGAGTCAGAGTGAAGAGTGAGTGGGAAGCGAAAACATGAGAGCTATTTTTATGCCTAAATCCTTCTTATATTCTTACTTACATGAACCTCAAACACATTCACATTCAAGTTTCTGTGTGCTTCAGTGTAAGCTGTAGGTGCATGTGTTTGTGTGTAAGTTTGCATTAATATGTGTGTGCACTGATATTCTTTTTGTAGTCATGCCCCAATAAGGAACTCTACGATAAAGCTGTTTTTGTTTATGGGAAAAGGAACAACATTTTCAAAAATCACCCAACTGCACCCTGTGGTTAAAAAGAATGTTCCAACGCTGATATGTTGTATGCAGGGCTGTCTACGGCAAAAAATTAGGACTTTCTAAACTATTTTACCATTATCATCACTACATATAAACATGCTGAAGACACTGGCAATAGTAAATAAAATGTATATATTTGTGTTGTAGACACTGAGACTCCTGGTTCTTATCACCACAGCTGTAAAGAAATCTAAGTCAGTAAATTTCTCTACAATAAACCATTTTACGTTGAACCACTTCGAATGACTTTGTTTAGACCTCACTGACTGAATTATACAGAAATTCTGAAAAGTCAGTGAAATTCCCTTTAACTGATGTTACTAAGTTACATGAAAGAATACTCCTACAACTATGCATGACTTGAACACTAATATATAACTAGCTTTTCAAATTGTTGCCAACTACATTCCACTTAACTTGCCACACTTGACAAAGCTTGTTGGTTTGCAAGGGTATTTTGATGATGTTGCCTGTCAATTAAATGATGCATGAGTGAAAGTTTGCATGAAGTATATACAAGGATACAGGGGGTTTGCAAAGTAAGATCTGGCCACTGAATCTGGTACACCTACCAGCCATTGTTTCCCCTCTCTACCCTTGAAAACGTTTTATTAGCTAAACTTAAATTAGTGGCCACATTCATTTGCATAAAGTTAAAATCTGCTGAACACAATTCACTGTACTGCAAACCATCATGCACCACCCAATATAGCAGAACTCCCTATTAAAATGACTAGGGTGCAAAGGTTCAAGTGGACAGATGCTGTCAGTCTCACCACTAGGTTGAGAATAGTTCACCAATCAGCAATATCCAGCCAACAGTGGTTTTGCAGTCCACTGATGAAGGGTTAGAGGACAACACAAAATGTGCATGGAAAAGATACGCTTCAGTCGAAATGTGCGCCTACAAAGTATACCAACAAGGCAAGTGTGTCTAATAAAGTGGCCACTGATGCACTCATAACAGCACAGCACACACTAACATGCCACTGCCATTCTGCTATCATTACTGTGCTGAGAATGATACACTAGCCAAGTAATATAATGGTCGCTTATGATTGATGAGTAATAAACTGTGCATCAGATTGTAGGTATCTGGTAGGCCCAGATCAAAATCAGATTTTTCCCCAAACAGGCAATCTGCAATTGGCCAATTTATTACTATTATTTTGTCATCTTAGTTTTAAAATATATGACATAAATAACGTGAGCTGGGTAAGTCCACTAATGCTCTATTTGAACGCTGCTGCTGTATGCCAATATGTTGGTGCATAATTATGTAGGAATCATTGTGCTAAAGAACAAGTTGTCTTGTATTTTTAGCACTTTATTTGTTTCTTGTTATTTAAATAGGCAATGGTTATTTAAGAATTTAAGAAAGGGTACAAAGTGCACTTATATTGAAGGTCTACTTGATAGAGTGACAAATGAGTATGAGTATTTCATCTAGTGTTTCTGTTATTTTGTACACCCCCTGTTTGTGGCAGTATTCTTATTGCGAGACCTTGTAATTGAAATGACCATGATATTCGGGGAACAATGTACATGACAACATGTATCAACTTTTAAACTTGTCAGTAAACCCCAATGGATATTGGGGTCATTTTCAAAATTAATTTTTCCCAGACAAAAACGGCTCAAAGGTGAATTCCAAGGATTTTTCAAAATTTCTTTTGAAAAATCTTTCTTTTTTATTTGTTGAGATGTAAAGTTATTAAGAGAGCTTTGATGTGAAACGCTTTACTGCACAGAAATGTACTTACTTGGATTTCTTTACAGTGGTGATAGTAAGGAAATAGGAGAAAAATGACTAGTGAACCTACAAATATCTTCTGAGTTATACCTCCTGCATGTACCTCTCTGCCACAATTGTATTTCAAAAATTATGTTTGAGGCCAAAAGCGTATCTCAAAACTATTGTAAAAGAATGTATTAGGCATCAGGTAGTGTTTTTTGTAATCATTTTGTATAATAGCTTTCTTTGAGGGAGTTAATGGCAGAGGCAGAGGCATTAAATGCTTCTGACATCTGGTTCCTGTCACCACCACTGTGCCCAATTCTGACATGGTAACTTTCTCTAGAACGCTGCATTTCACACCAAGCCACTCTGACTGACTGTTTGCATCCCAATGATTTAACTAATGCAGTAATCTTGAAAAATCGTCCCTTTAAAACCAGAGCTCATTTGGATGCTAATGACGAACGACAAAATGACAACACAATGTCTGAAGTCTATGAGTGTATGCATGTGTGTACCATTGCGGTTGAAGAGTGTTTTAAGCACAGGAGGGCAGGGAATGGTTACAGTTTGCCCAACCTCAGCTCCATCCCAGCAGGAGATATTATCCCAGAAGCCCTTACAGCCAGAACCTATACACGTACACACCCGCACACACAAAATCATTGCTTTTTCATAAGTTTCCTCTGAGAAAGTACAAAGTACATGGCTTCACGTTCTTCCCTGAATAAAAAGTGACATTCTTGGAACAGAAAAAAGAAACAGAGGGAGAAAGAGAAAGAAATAGAGGGGGAAGAGAGAAAAAGAGGGAGATAGAGAAAGAGAGAGAGTGAGAGGGAGAGAGGGAGGCAGAGTGAATGAGAGAGGGATGGTGTAAGAGGGTTGAGTCTTGTAAAGTCATTTTAGGATTTACAGCTTAGGATATTAACATGCCACACTTCAGTAACGAAAGACTCTTCTCACAGCCTTATTAAATCCAGATAACACACACACACAAGTAAATACACAGCTGAAATGAAAGTCTCTAGGTGTTAAAGGCATATAAGTGTGTGTGTGTGTGTGTGTGTGTGTGTGTGTGTGTGTGTGTGTGGTACCGCTGGGATTGGTGCTTTGCTGCTGTTTAAGCCGTGTCAGGCACTCTTCCTTTGCCCTCTGCAGCTCCTGGTAAAAATTACAGGTTGGGTGTCTTCCACACACCTATACAACACATCAAGATGCAAGATCTTAAATGTATTAAAGACAGAATATATCCTGAAAGGTCAGTAAATCAAGTACACCTGATTGTCCATTTTATCATGTAAGTGCAGTTATTATCATTGTTATTTGGGTGCAGTGCGGTCACACTGACATGATGCTGGTATGTTAGTGTGTGTTGCGCTTGTATAAGTGGATGAGTTTTAAGCACTTCAGTGTCACCAACCAAACGTATCCAGCCAACAGTGTCCTGTGGGCAGTGTGCTGTGACTACTAATGAAGGACCAACAGATGACTAACACAAACTACAGCAACAGCTGAGCTATCGTCTTGGACTTTACATGGACCAACAAAGTAGGAATGTCTAATAGAGTGGACAGTAAGCAGACACAGTGTTTAAAACCTAACAACACTGCTGTGTCTGATCCACTCGTACCAGCGCAACACACACTAACACGCCACCACCATATGAGTGTCACTATAGTGCTGTGAATGATCCACTGGGGTCTTCTTGGGGGGTGTAGATACAAGGAGGTGTACGTAATGGACAATGAATGTAGATACAAGGAGGTGTACATAATGATGTAGTCTCAGTGTGTACATAGGCACTCTGTATATATTAAGTGCCACTTATACACGCGCATTGTTTCATTCTAAATTTTTTAACCACATGAAATGAGTTGAACTGACTTTTATAGAGAATACAAAAAACTCATATTAGAAAGACATAACAGAATGGTATATCTTTATTGCATAGGTACAAATGAAGTAGGAGTATAAAAAGTGCTTTACCTTATCTAACTATATATATTTTTGTCTTGAAGCACATGGTTATAGCGTCTCTGGTAGAATAAAGATTCTGTGCAGGTACATTTTTTCTTTCATCAAGGTATAAACAATGCAAATGTTCCCTCAAAAGTTCAACAGTGGTTTTAAGGTCCAACTGTGAACCTTAAATAAGTTTTTCCTAGTGGAAAAGTATGTATTTGAACCTGTTCATAACCTAATGTTTTACAACAGAACAATAAAATTAAAAGCCTGGAGATGAGACAGGGTGTGTGTAATCAATACAGTTTAGAAAATGTAATTTCAATGGATTATGGTACAATTATGTTCCCTGAGTAAAGGTACTGAGATGTACGCTTGAGGGTACCACCTCAGTGACAAGAGGGGTACTGCCCCAGTGACAGTTTCATACCTTTTTTTCTAAGAGTGTAACTGTGATATTAGCTGTCACTACATCATTTCTTTTTGTTTTGCACAGTTATCCAATTAACTTTTGTGGGGTTTTTTTGTGAAATCTGTGTTAGGAAGAAAAAAAGTTCTTAAATTTTAATGTAAGATAAATTTTAATGTAAATTAAAAATTTGGGATGGGATGGTACATCTTCAGTACCTTTAGGCTAATTTGGGAACATAACTGTACCATATGCTGTTACATTTGTATATATGTGGTTGCCCTGACTCCATACGCCCTGTACTAACTCAAGACTTTTTTTTTTTTTACTAGTGAAAAAAGTTATGGAAAGGTTTGGATATGTAACTTTCCTTTGTGAACCATAATCTGTGGTAAAAGGGGTTTAACACAAGTCAAATCAAGATACAAGCTAGACTTGAATATCTTGTATGCCAATATTTATGTCAATTCTATGATAAAGTCTTTTTTGGGAATAACATGTAACCCATTATACACACTATTAAATCAGTCCAAAACTAGAGCTGGACAGCTCTATCAGTAGAGCAGCTATTTTCTGACAGTTTTGTTTGTTTATGTTTTGATGCACACTTAATGTTTTTAGAGTAGACATCCTGTTGTTTTTGCAACACAATGTGATTCTACATTTGAATGCCCACTTGCTGGATCAAGAATGCTGAGAAGGTCTGTAATATAAACTGCAACTTCAATTGCAAAATTCAGTCATCAGTAGTACACAAATTAGCCATTTACAAATTTATACAATTTTAGAAAGCTTGTGGTAACCATTGTTATTAGTTAGCCTTTAATTTTACAGTACGTCACTTAGGGCCCCCAAAAGGCTAGAGATGGCTAAAGACCCTCATTACTCATCTGTTAAATAAATACTAGATGAACCATTTGTGTAACTACAAGTAGGCATTCTTTGGAACTAAAAGAAAGCAAATTCAGCCAGGACAACTTTGCTAGTTACATGTATCATAACTGCTAAATTTCTTTACAAGTGCTGATTATTCTCCCACTGTCTCTTTCACTCCTCATTCACAGTGCACTGCCAAAGTATAATAATTCATGTGTGTACCTTAAGGTGTACCTTAAGGACTATTATATTATTATTATTTAAGACAGCACACCTAAAGGTGGCATTTTTCTGCTAATTTTAGTGCTCAATTTCTATTTGATGAGTTTAACATACTGAAAAAAAATGAAACATACAATATAAAATGTGCTACAACTAACACAAATGTGCTGATTTTTTGAAAGTTAAATCCAGCAAATTAAACAATTTAAAAAACAAAAAAGTGCAATCCAGTAATTGCACATTAAAATGTTCTCTCTCTCTCTCTCTCTCTCTCTCTCTCTCACACACACACACACACACACACACTACTTATGCATTCTCTCTGAATTAAACAAACAGACAAATACACATTATTAAAGAGCTCAGTCTGAATTAATCATAAACACAGGGCACAGCGGTTAGATGCTGCACTGATACTGACAGTATAAAAAACTGCTCTAAATGGAAATCGTTTGATCTTCAGGCTGGGGCAAGGCACAATAATCACTGGAATTATTAAAATGCGAAATATGAAAATGATTTCATCCCCTGCTTATTAATGGCCTATATTTGGGTAGATTATAATTTTTTTTTCCTACATTTCATTTGACTTCCTTGCCCGAGATTTGATACTACACATTTTTTCAGAGAATGTCTATGAATGTGGACTGCATATATTTAAAACAGACTTACATTCATTTCTAAATTAATAAACACAAATCTAAAGAAATGAAAAGGACTCCACAGACATCCATAACTTTGACTGACCAAAACAATAACATGTGACAATAATGTGAACTGCATTGATGCAGGTTGTCACTGTCATAACAGTTGTATGCAGAAGTTGGGCGACACGTTAAAATACATGTTTTGTTGATTTTCTAAGTAAAAAATCATTTAACCCATCCTTTACAGAGAACATACTTCTGCACATTTTTTGAAATACACAATTACTGTTTATCTGGTAAATTTACCACATTGGAAAAAAAATAAAACATTATACATTTTATGTTTCATGTTTTATTTTTTTCCAATATATTAAACTGAGCAAACAAATAAAATTGTGCACTAAAATTGGCAGATGCCATATTTGAATGACAAGCTTTTGATATGACAACAAGGTACTCACCCTCTCTCTAAACACATACAGAGAGAGAGAGAGAGAGAGAGAGAGAGAGAGAGAGAGAGAGAGAGACTGACTGACAGAGAGACAGACTAACATCAAATGTGTGAAAAAGTTTGTTACACACATTCATGGAAAGGAGATCAATACATGTAATTACACAGCCCATGGTTGGTAGTGCTATTGCACCATAGAGAGAAGTCTGTGGCACTTTTAAGTCCTATAACTACAGTGACTCAATGGTTTCGGGCTCCACACAAAGAGCTCAAACACCCCAATGCCAGAGGATTCTTGCAATATGATGGCCCTGTGTTCCTGAACCTGCCCATGAGAAGGGGCAATAAGCAGAAGTAACTGTTCATAAATAAAGGGCAACAAATAATGGCAACTACACTTACTTCATTACTTTACTCAGTTCAATTCAGTGAACAACCTTGCAGTGTAAACCAGCAAGGCCTGCGATGGCAAAACATAAATTCTGTCCTACGTTCCCCTCTGATAACACGTATCTGCATTCAATGCCCCTGGTCTTCTGGTCAGTGTCCCCATCTCAGAAACAACTGCAGGCAGTTTTCTCTCATCAGTATAAACTATTTAAACCTCACCTTTGAAGTGTTGCCACAGGTTAAATGTTTTTGTACTGACTCTTTGGTTTCTCTTAAACTCTGTCTTTTGGTATGAACTTGTGTATGACCTGTTTACCTGTTTGCATGTTGGAGATCACTACATCAGCTGAACGTATACCAAAGTGCATTGGCTTGTGTCCCTTGAGTCTCATAACATTATGTTAATGGTGGCCTCTGAGCCACTGAAAACACAACTTATCAGTGTCTATGGAGAAGTGCTGGGTGTTTTGTACTTTTTGTCCCCTGCAATGTTCAAAATGTCTCTGTCTACGGCTAGGGACAAAAAGCCATCTTCAGCATCACCCAGGCTACTAACATTGATTTGTTTATATGACAATACTGATGTAGGTTTGAAGATGAGAAATGCTCTGAATTAATTTAATGAATCATGTGTTTTTACTGCTATTTTGTAAACTAAATAGTTCACGCCTCTATGGATTATTCTACCAAACTGATTCAAAGTCAGAGTTGAAAACACATAGCAAACTTTTAATTGACTTTGACTTTAGACTAAAACCCTTTTTGTTTAATTGACCCAATACCTTAGTTATGTTCAATTTCGTCATGACCACAACACAAATAAAATTGTTTCAGTAGTGACAATTTTAGCTAGTTTAAACAAAACTCTAAATACTAGTCAGTACATGACTAGCAAACTCAGCTTAGAACAGTTATACATACATAAAATATGACACATGTATTTGTTATACCTGATACATGATATTAATACATGATATTTTTCATTAAAACACAAAAGAATTCTTTAATTGCAGAAAATGTGTTTAAGTAGTGTCAATTCTTAATGTTACACACTGATTTTCAGACTTTGGGACACATTTACTTCAAAACAATAGGACCTAACTGCTCACCATGTGGCCATGGGGTGGAGCTAAAATAAGGCTTTCCCTATGGACTACAACTAGGTTTCATTAGTAACATGAAAATGGGACAGCTTTTTTTTTTTATATATATATTCCTTTTTTTTAATTCAACTCATGATAATTCCAAAATGTTGAAAAAAGACTGTAAGTAGTATTTTTTTAGATTGAAATTTAGGATTTTGGGACAGCCACCTGACAATTTGGATGGAAAGACCTCAAATTATCCTCAAATTAAAGCCGAAAGTCTGCACTTTGAGAGGTTAAAGTAGGTAGTTTTGCTTTGTATGACTCTGCAATCCACACAGCCTATATGACTGATTTGCATTACTCAGTTCAGTTCAATTCAGGGTTTGCTTTATTGCCAAGTCTGCTTTTACTGCAGTTTTACTGCAGCCAGATCAATAGCAATGTAACAGCAACTAAAGAATACCAGTGCCACCAACATTAATTTCAAAACAGCGATTGTAACATGCATACCAAAAATAACACTTGTTTATCATCAAATACTACCAGCTCCTTCCGCCTACTCTGCTTATCTCTTTTCATTCTTAATATTCGAGAAAAAGAGGATGACATATTTGTATTCAATCCACGTACAGAGACCCTGCTAGTGCAATGACAGGAGAAGCTGCTAATGTAATGAAATGCAACACATACACAGAGCATGCACTTTATTAGAAACGCCTACCACGCACTTCACTCACTGGCCACATTATGAGGCCAGTATATAGGTGTACAATCAAAGATTGTAGCCCATCTGTTGTCATGCACTATATTTCAGCTACCCCCTATTCATTTCATTGTTGTTCAGTTTTTGAGCACAGTACCATTGATATTATTTGGGTGGTCTCAGTACAGCACTGACACTGACATGCCGGTGTCCAGGGGTTAAACTGGGCAATTTAACTTTTAGTTTATATGAACCCCAAGCAGAGCTAAGCTCTGATCGAAATCTAAATCATTTACACTCAATCTTTGTGACATCTATTTTACCATTTTCTAACCCCTAGACAGCTACAATCCCCATTCCACCACTCTGTTTGTAACAATTCATGATCATTCACTTTTTTAGTAAAGCACATTTACATGATATCAACAGAAAAACAACATTTTCAACACAGCTATATTTGCTTTATCCTTACCCCCTGAAATATGTGACATATATCAATGAACATAAAATGGCAACGGAAAGGTAGAAAATGAAGGGGAATGTTTCTATAACACATCAGGAGGAATGCATTTTCTTTCTAGAGGCAAGGGACAAAAATTGACAAAACTGCCAGACAGCTATTTTTGCAGGGCCGGCATATATGTTCTTTACCATTTAAAAACATTTTATATTTCTCTTTATTGTGCAGTACATTTTTTTTTTACAGATTTTATGAAAAATTGTCATTATGGACCACTGTCCTCCCCTCAGTATTGGCCTGAGGGCCAGCATAGGGTACATGGCCTAGTTGTTGAGCTATCCTGGTTTATTTTGAAAAAAAATGGTGCTGTTCCCTTTTATGTAGCGTATATTTTTGTCGTTGGTTTTACTGCTGTTACATACATATTAAAGGACAAATCAACATAAAGGGTCTTAGACAGTGCACCTTGGCATGCACTCCAAAATGTGACCGTGAAGACCATACGTTTATATTTTTATCATATTCATCACATTCAGTGACCTCTTGTGCTCTGTCGATGGGGGCAGTGTCATGCTGGAAGAGACAAATCCCACCATTATTGAAATATTTCATCACAGGATAAAGATGACCAGTCAGAGTAACTCTGCACTGACATGTAGTGACTCTTCCTTCTAAGGGAAGATGTGGACCATGGCAGCAAAATGCCCCCCACAGTATATGAGAGTCTTCACTGCAGGGGTCAAGCATATAGACCTGTACTATCCTCTTGGTCTACACCACACATTGCACACTTGTTGAGAATAAGGACAGGTCTGAGCACACCACTTTATCCACATCTCTGAAGACCAGTGCCTATAGATTTTTGCACCAAAGAATACTCAAGCATGCATTTAGCTTTGTAACGAAGCATTTATGCACTACGCCCCTGCTATAATATCTTTCTCTATCTAGTTATGGAAGGGCTCTTCTTGCTGACACAGTGTGATCACATCATGCATTGAAATTCGCAGTCACTTGAGGAACAGCTGTTCTTCTACTTTTCTTACATATTGCACTAGTGTATGTGCATCTCAGTCACTGCCACAGCCACCACGGTCACCACAATTTCCTACTTTTAGTGCAGATGTCACTTTAGCCACTGTTCCTATTGAATCAACAGCCAGCAATCTTTTGGACTGAAGCGCCTGCCATCTGTGCCCCATCTGAACCCTCTTTCAAAGTCACACAGATTTTTTCCTCTTGCCATCTTGATGCAACATAGAGGTCAACTGGACATACGTAGTGCTCAACATAGAGCTCAGCATTTTTATATATGCTACAGAGGTAGGATGGTAGGATGCTAATTACTTAATTATATGATTAAGTACACCTGTCTGGGAGCATCTGCACTTATGTTTCTCCACATTTTTAAGTGCTTTCTTTCATTTTTCACCTTTCTGAAAGTAGCTAGCCTAGTTTCATAGCCAGATAAAACTGTTACCACCACTGAGATGCCTAAATAAAACATGTCTTTGTATATATTTCATGTGAATAGAAGTTGTAATTGTGATATTTACTGCTCTAAGTTCAGAGTGGTCCATCTGATCAGAAACTGCCGAGATGAAAGGCAGGGGTAATAGTTAATCCAAATTGTGCATGGCAACAGATCAAGGTACAGTTTAGTTTCTAAACTACATGGTTGGTGTTTCTAAGTGGCCATGGAGTGGACAGATACCACAGCTTATAACATTTAAACTTGAATTAAACTCTGCAGGAAAGTAGATCTCCAGGAGCGATGGTGACAGGCTTTTAACAAGAAACTGCCCTGCTGTCTACAACCAAACATTCCCCAGATCCATATCTGCTTTAACACATTTAATAGTCTGTGTAAAAGCAGATCCTGTTCATCGCGTTAACGAGTGTAACTTTGATCAACTGACCATCAGCGTGTGGTCCAATCAGCACGGTCCGCTGCTTTGGTGTGTCCGGGCATGCGTGCCAAGCAGTAATTAGGAAACATTATTGACGCTGTGAATGGGACGAAGCGTCCGAGCTGTCGATGTGTGGAGCTTGTTAGGCTCACTGACCCAGCACAAAACAGTGCTAACTGAATTCATTACGCATTGACTAGAATCTCTCAACAAAGGCACAGAAATGTAAACGCTTTTAATTATCAACTTGCAGGTCGCGTGGCTCGCAGGACCACCCACATTATACACGCCACAGATACAGAGCTGAGAAGTAGCTTCTAAATATTACAGCATAATGCAAATGTATTACGACGAACTAAGTAAAGAAAACGTAAAAGCCAAATTCACTCACCGCGTGTAACCACGTCGACAAGAGCAAAAACACAGCCAAGAAGCGCTTCATGGTGGCATCTATTCTCTCGGGAGTTATTCTTGATGTAAACAGTAGGACTCAGAGAGAAAGGCGACGGCGCGCGCGCCGTCCTATAGCATACCGCGCGCCACCGGAGAAACGGTCGTGTTAACGGACACACACACACACACACACTATTCCTGTCAAAGTGCACTGTGTGCGAGGACGTGTTCAGTGCTAAGGACGCGAGGACTGATCGCGGATTCGGTCAGTCACGCAGCGACGTGTCGCGCGCGCCTTTCTGGAGACTCTGCATCTTCAGAAGTATTTTGTAAAGCCCGCGGGCAAAACGAACTTGTCAGCTTGGGTTAACGTGGAGAAATGTTTCTTTTTGAAGCACTGCACAGTCTGAAAGCGAGTTATCTGTTTCTAGCCAGACGCTGTTCATAGGACAAAACTCGCACAGAGACACGCACGCACTGTAATATAGACGTCACAATGAAAGCGAGTTTTCTTCCATGAGGTAACATTCTTCAGAAGTGCGAGAGGAGGAGAGTCCACACTGATTCTAAAGAGAGAACCAGCGCGCGCGGGTGAGTGTGTGCGCGCGCGTGCGCCAGGGTATCTGCGTAATGTATGGTGGTTCTGGGCAAACTTCTTCACAGCTGTGGTGACAACCGTCTATATACACACTGACACAGCACAGAGCAGCAGCCTGACCGGGGTTCACTTTGGCCCGCACACGCACAGGGAGAGACAGATAATGGGCTCACGAGGCCCCTGGGCACACGTTCACACTACCTGGCACAAATCCGATTTTTTGCCCTACATGCACTCAATAATCTCACAGCAGGTAAAACTGGTCCAAATCTGATTTTCGTACCACATGGCTGTTCACAATATCTTTTACATGTTACGTATATCCAACATTAGTCTGAACCATTCATGCTCCTAAAATGACCCGCATGCGCAAAAGAACAATGCTTCATGTGGCGCGCTCATCCAGAGGTAAGCGATCAAAATTGACTCAACAGTAATAGCCGCTCCGGGAGGTTTCGGTTTCATCTTTGCCAGCATCACAGGAGCTAATATAACAAGTTCTGATGGCTGGCAGCTGGGCTAACCACCCAGAATGCGCTCGAGCTCGCTGTAAAATGGCACGTTATTCGGCCAAGGCCACATTTTTGGTTCGCGTCCTTTCATTCTTTAAATTTAGCTTTGAGACTTTTAACTTTTTTTGACGCTGCAGCCTCGTTCTCCGTACGGCCGTGTTTAGCCATTTCTTTCAAAATCTCTTTGAACACAATGATTTAGATAAGTGTCTTCTTATTTTCTTTCTACAGGAACCCTAAATGTTTATGATTTATATACCTAGATGCCGCGTTGTCTGTTGTTGCCTATCTGAGGCGATACGTCTGGGCGTCCGCCATGTTGGAGCGGTCAAAATCCGCTTGTGAACAACTTCACTTGTATTGAGAGATGATGAGTCTCAGGATTAAATCAGCCACAACTTCCTTATTACTCAACCGATTTTCACCAAATCTGTTTTGTTATAATCCACAGACATAGATTAATCTAGGCTGCACGGACTGCTCTCGGTAGCTTTTATTATTTTTTTATTATCCAATCGTGCTAATTAGCCGTCCGGACCAACAGAAAAGTATTCAGTCTGCACCTGATTAAAAACCGAGTTTAGCGTGAGCTCCGGTAGAAACACAATCTCACAATCAGCAAATTCATCGGTGTGAATCACTTCTCATCTTAATACACATTAAAATAAAATAAACCCCCAAAGACAGTAAGAGGGACAAAGCTAAAATTGGCTTCCTATTCGCCAGCTTCTTTCTGGTGCCTCAAGCTGCACCATTTAAGGTGGAAAGGGAAAACTCGAACAAGAAGCTGGCAAATAAGGAGCTAACTTCAGCTTCGTGCAAGGTGCTAATGTTAATCTGTTATCTAGTATCTGCACGGATTAAGGAATGCTATAATTTACCTACCTTAAAGTAACAACCATTGTAAATAAATAGCTACACAAGTTAAGGTGCCCTGAATATACTATTGAATAAAATAACACATCTGTGTCACATTTTTGTAAGTCGCTCTGGATAAGAGCATCTGCTAAATGCTGTAAATGTAAATATGAAGAAAAAGATTGGATTTGGGTCACTTTTACCTGCTGTGTGAACAAAGCTATATCCAAGCTTTGGACCACATATTAAAGTGGCTCAGATCTGATTTGAAAAGGTCATATTTGTGTTTTCACTCTGCTCTGAAAACATCAGATCTGTGTCACATTAAAGAAGCAGTATGCAAGCTGTTGAATTCATACATCACACTCCAAACACATATCGCCAGAAAGCTGTGGTGTCCACCCCTATCGTATGAAAAAAGCAAATGCACAGTCCCTCCTCTTTCCTCTTCACTCCTCCCCATCTTTGCCAGTCTAGAAGATTCAAGTCCAGCAGCAAACTTCATCCCTTTACTCGCCAAGAGCTGTCTCCAGCAGTGGAAAGCAGCGCCAGTGTTAACTTGTTTTGCTTTTACTGTTCCTTTCATGGCTACCTGTCCTTAAATAGTCTAACTAGGCAGTACAATATACAGATATAAGAAAACCTTGTATGTCCATTTTTGTCGTCTTTCAGTTTTTCACATAATTTGAAAATGCCTGTTGCCCTTTATATTGTGTGTAAATTTCATAATGAATGGATGAAGAAAAATGACCCAAAATTACTTGGAAAAATGTCTGGTTCTATTGACTTACATTAAAAAGGTGTGTTTTTTCTTTCTCCTGTAAAGTTATCATTTTGAAGATACGAGGTTTTCTTCCGACCACAGCGCTATATATATATTCACCATGGTTTGCACTGCATATGCACAGACTATCTTAAATATGCATTTTAAAAAATGAAAATAAACATTTTACAGACATTTTAATTTAGCTTATATTTTGTACAAACATGACCAAAAACTTAAACATCAATAAACAATAACATTTTTTGTCAATAACTTTTAGTTATTGTTTTATAGCTTTTAAACAAACAAAATATATCATAAGATGAGTTGATTGCACAAAAAAAATTATGAAAACAGAATTTTATTGTGAAAAATGAAAAAAGTATTAAATCTTCGCAATAATTAACAGTGTATTAGTTGCTACATTTATATTTTTGTACATTTTTGGTGATGGGGATTTTTAACTGCTTTAAATATGATGGTATGGTATGGGTTGAGTGGACTTAATACCTCCTGAGCTCCTTGGCAGTCCGAAGCCCCTGGGCACTGGCCCAACCGACCTAGTCAGTAATCCATTCCTGCACACATATGTGCACACACTCAAAAGATATTGGCAGTGATTGGCAGTTTGTATTGATTTTAAGCATTACGGAACCTTGATGGCTCCTCCTGTTTTCCCCTTTACACTGGAAAAATGCAATGCATTGAATTTCATTGATTCAAATAATTTTCATAAAAAGCATACCCTAACTAGCACAGCTGAACATTTTGGCTCCAAAAAAAATTTGTAACAGACACTTTCAATGTCAAATAATATTTTCTGGAATTTGTGCATTCATGACTGTATTCATGTTGTGAACACAGGTTTGGTTGGTAGGGGTTTTGGAGTAATTTGAGCTTTTCATTGAAATAAAACCACAAATATAGACTTTACACTGGTATGCAAAATGTTGAATACCCCTGGTCAAATTGCATGTATTGTTTATTTTCCAAGTGAAAATAAGATAACACATCCTCTACAAACAAAGCTGAATATGGCATTTTTCTTCACATTTCAGTGCACAGTTTCTATTTTTTTGCTGAGTTTAACAGACACAGACACACACACTTTCTAAGCCACTTATCTTTCTGGGGAAGGCAGGAGACACCCTGGACAGGTCGCCAGTCCATCGCAGGGCAGAAAGACAGACATATACATTGATACATACTCTCACATTATGTCACATTATCACATCATGTTATATTTTTTCTCCGATAGGATGAATTCAGCAAATAAACAGTATTTGTGTTTTAAAATGTGCAGAAGTGTGTTGTCTCTAGAGGATGTGGAAACTTAACCTAGACAATCAAACAAAACATGTAACTTGACCAGGGGCACTCAAACTTTTGCATAAGGCTTTTATATAAATAAAAAATATATCAAAATATACACAAACTTTGTAGTTCTACAATTACAGACTGTCTATCTGTTTCTCTTCATACTTTGTTAGCCCCTTTTCACCCTGTTCATGGTCACGACCCCTGCAGGATCACCACAGAGCAGGTATTATTTGGGTGGTGGATCATTCTCAGCACTGTAGTGACACTGATGTGGTGGTGGTGTGTTAGTTTGTGTTGCACTGGTGTAAGTGGATCAGACACAGCAGTGCTGCTGGAGTTTTTTAAATACTGTGTCCACTCACTGTCCACTCTATTAGACACTCCTGCCTTGTTGGTCTACCGTGTAAATATAAAGTCAGAGATGATAGCTCATCTGTTGCTGCACAGTTTGGATAGTCATCCTCTAGTCCTTCATCAGTGGTCACAAGATAAAATGGATAAAGGGATAAAATTGATTATGAGTGTACATTCAAGGAGGTATACCTAATAAAGTGCAAACTAAAATGAATATATTTTCAAAATCTCTCTTTAAACCATTTCTATGACATATTTACTCAGGGAGACATTTTTGTTTTAATGCAGTTTTGCATACTGATCCAGACATTTACACTGTGCTAACCAACCCTGTTCTTTTCTATATCAACACAGCTATTGCCAAAAGTAATTGAACTGAAAGTAAATTTAATGTATTACTTTCTTCAGTGCATGACCAGCATCACAGAGAGAAAACCCAGCGATCCAGGTTTACATTTTTCACATTTCTGGCTGGCTAAGTAGCCAGAGTTGTCTGTCATTTTGGCTTATACATGAAGCTGTGCCATGTTTCTGCAGAAATCCCTGGCTTAAAATTTTTAAACAAATAAAAAGGAATGTAGGATCTATGCAACACTGCTTATAGCTGTAATTAATCAAGATCCTGATTTTGTCCTGTGTATTTATCTCAGAATGAACCTAAGCTTCTTAGTCCAGTCCTTGTGGACAAGGACGTAGATGGGCTTCTAACTGTACAATGGCAAATGTAGACCTACAAGGCAAGGGT